AAATAAACCATTTTGAACACACTTTTTTATTATTTATCAAAAAAAATATAGTTCTGGCATAAACAATGTTAAATTTTAACTGACTTAATTTTTCGAACACATCTTTTTTATTTATATGGGTATCTTAAGGTCTGTTTTTGCGCTAATGTTGCTAATGCACCATTTGAGGGCATAAACAATGTTAAACTTTAACTGACTTAATTTTTCGAACGCATCTTTTTTATTTATATGGGTATCTTAAAATCAGTTTTTGCGCTAATGTTGCTAATGCACCATTTCAGCGGAAAAAAAATTGTTAAGGAAAAATTTTCTGTTAGCGAACCCTTTGTTATATATTTCAAATATCACCACTGCATGCACCATAAGGCCTACTATAATTAAATATTACAACTCTGGTTTGTAAACGGCATGCCAAGGTGCTGACAGAAAGTTTCTCCTTGTAATTAATATACCTGCTGTTTAAATCTGCCTTAAAATTTTTTAGAAGCTCCAAGAATCTATAGCAGTCTGTACATTTGACATTAGTAGGACACTAGCTTGTTGTAATTGCACCTTTATATCCAGGTTGGAGGTGTATATTAACAGAGATGTGGATAGCTGTGAATGCATTATGTCAGCAGCATGCTCTTGTAGTCATTTCTCCACCGTTTTTTTTGTGGAGCCTATATATACAAGGTTACTATCAATCCTCGTATCTCTCAGAGTCAAGCAATACACTCCTGGAAGCTTAAATGGGGTGGGTGGGTCCTTCACATTCCTAAGGAGTGCAAAAATTGTAGGACATCTGTATGTAATATTTGTCTTTTTTTAGCTATAGCACTAAATACTGACCTCAGTTTGGGGTGGAAAGTTAGCATGTGATGGTCCTTTCTACCATGTTTATCATTATGTATCACATTTATCCCTTCCGGGGATCATATTGGTCTCTAGCAATCTTAGCTACTATCTTACATACCACATCAGTGGTATTACCACTGCACTATACATGTGGGCTATGGCTAATTTTCTACATGCATCAACTCATTGTGATATAGCTGTGGGGAGGAAGAGAGTGGATACACATGTCTAATGAGGACCCTATATGCTACAATTTTATAGGAGTAGGGATCACATGAACCTGCCAGGATGTAGCATGGCACAAAAGTTGGTTTACGATAGACTGATATGACAATAGTGGGCCCACCACTTGTGCATGGATGTTAATATTTAAGAAATGAACTTTGTTCTTGTTTGTCTGTCTGTTCTAGTTTCAATGACAACCCATAGGAGTTGTGATTGACAGAATCAAGAAATACCCTTAAATCTTGGATATCTTTCCATAAGATGAGGATATCATTACCATATCTCTGTATAAAATAATGTTGGGATGGAATGCCAGTAGGACTTTCTCTTTTAACTGGCAAATCACCATTTCACACAGGTCTCCTGAGATTGGGCTATCCATCAGGACCTCTGCATCCTTGGAGGAAGACCTTACCATTGAATTGGAAGATGGAGTTATAGCAAATTAAGTGTCAGTTCCAGTACCTGTAAGCAGAGACTGTTATCATTAACAAGCTTGAACAACCAATTGCGAATGGCACAGAAAAAAGGGGGAAGTTCTATCAACGGATACAAGGACTTAAAAGTCCAAAACTGTTAGGTAACCTGGAAGGTCCACATGCATAATTGCTGTACCAGTTCATATTAGCGATGAATTGAGTAAGGGAAATTCTGTAAATGCTCATTGAAGAGTGTGTGAATGTATTTCTCCAACAAGTGGGTAGGGGATCTGGTTTTGTCCACTGGATGAAGTTTCTGACCCTGTTTGTGGGTTTTGGTAAACGTGAACAACTGTGGACTATCCATTGAGTATACTGTTGACCTAGCTAGAGTCAGTCATTGAGCTTGATTAGTATGGGAAAAAACACTTAATCCTAGCTTGCAGCTTATCAATGAATCTTTGCTCTATGCCTTTTCATTGTGTCTGTTCTATGTACTGTTGCAAACCTCATACATAGGGGTCCCTTTTCATGACTATGAAGGACTTGGTCTTGTCAACCCTGATGAAAGTGTTGTGGTTCCTCTGTAACCAGAATATAGTTCTATGTAGGTTATCTGTTAGCTTCACCATCAGTGTTCATTTCTTGTTCCTGATCTTCATAGTTGCCATCCATCTGTAGTATTTCTTCTGTGTGTCAGATAGACTGTTCAAAAGGATTTCCAGGTCCAGAATGAAGGATCTAAAATCTTTACTGGAGGGAGGAGGTGTGAACGTCTGTTCATATTTCAGAACCTTTTGTATAAAGGAGGGGATTGAAACATCATCTTGCACTACAAATGGGAAAGAGAGCCAGTTATAAACTTACAACACTTGGAATCAGAGTATCCAGTTGAAACCAGTTGAACTTTTTTTGAAGTTGTTAACATTGAAGAACATTGAAAAGTTAAAAGTAGCTAAACTACAAAATTGATTCCAGACCAATCTGATCATCCATTATAAAAGAAAGCAAAAATGTTTGAAAAATTATACCTACTCAATAACTACGAAGTAGACAGACAAATCACTATATCAATTTTCATTAGTTGCTTAGATTGTAAATGATGATATAAATGCATATAAAATAATACTGAATACATTTCTTACCCCTTGAAGTGGCTAGCAAATTACCTTCCTAACTCAACATTCACTCTCTCGTTGCCAAAATCAACCTTTGTCTACACTTCTATTCATAATAACCATTCCATTTTTCTTTTTTCATTACTTTTGCTCAGGTCATTTTTCATGAATTAATAATTAATCAATGTTTATGTTTTGTTGTAATTTTATGTTTCATTTAATTAAAGTATCCTACACAATCTGTTTGCTATTTAGAATTCAATTAAAATGTGATTTTTACAGCTGAAAAGATAAATATTATACTGTGTGTGTGTGTATATATATATGTAAGTTATATATGCTATGTATACTTTTTGGTATTTTCATATTTATAATGCAAATTTGGTGTTTTCATAATCCATCGTATTCTTCACTTTATAATGACCAGATTAAAATACAATATGGCTGCTGGCATGTACCTCCAAATTGCAGACACCTCTAAATAGCAGACAAATTTCTCAATCCTGATGGTGTCCACCAGGTTATAACATAGTTTGAAAAATTTTTTAAAGTTGTTTAATATTGATATGTAATTAACATTTTAAATTTTATTATCCTAATAAAAATCAAGTAATTTAGAAGTATTTCTAATTTTAAATATTTCAAGGATTTTTTATGAATCTAAATTGAGTATGAGTGTACGATCACTGATGGAGAAGAAGAGAAATTTTTATTTAATAATAAGACAAACTGCTAAAGTTTAAGTTTTAAGGACTTTCATGAGAATGTTTCCTCTCAAAAAATAAAAAAATATATTAAATTTACTATATAATTTATTTGTAACATAATTTAAATTAATTATATTTGCAAAATTATATGTTTTCAATAAATCATTTTAAATTCTTAAATGAGTTTTCTTATTCTTTAGGAACCTCCTCCAACATATGAAGAAGCAATCAAATTTAAAAATAGGATAAAAAAAAATAGTGTTTGACAATATTTATTCAGACAAATATCAATGCTACTATAAAATTTTTATACTAGGATATAATTTTTGATCTTGAAATTATATATAATGACAACAAATACAGTATATATTCATCTGATAAATTTTTGAATTAATACAATATCGAGCTTTAAAACAAGACTATGAATGAGATGTTAATTCAAACTTCAAACATTTAAATATTTTGACTTTCTTTTTTGATTTAATCAATATGATAAATTTGAGAAATATCAGGTTGATATAATGCTACACAGTTAAATACGTACAGATTAAAATATCAGATTAAAATATTCATATAATCAGGGAATGTTTTATTTCTATATTAGATATTAGTATTGCTTTAGAAAATAAAACAATTAACAATTAATTTAAATACAAAATACTAAGAAAATCTAATAAAAAACATGCAGAAAAAATTCCAAATTTTTGATCAAAGAAAATCAGAAAAGTAAGTTTTAACATTTCAAATTTTTTTTATATGTACAATAACATTAAGATTTATTTGTAATATTTGTTTGCAGAAAATATTAAATTATTATTGTGAAAAAATCAGCTTGGAAAGTCTATATTATACATTTGAAATTTGAAGAATGGATTCCAAGTGTGTGGAAAAACAAGAAAACTATAATTTATAAATGTAAAATTAAATTGTAATTTTTATGTTTTTGAAATATGATGATAATTGCTAAAAATTTATATAATTTAATAATAACATTTAGACATAAGATATTCTTTTATTACGTAATAAGAATTGTATACAGCCATTCTTCACTTAATGACCAGGTTTCATCCTTATGTCTAGATTGTTAAGCAGATTCTCCATTAAACAAGGAGCTTAATCATTTTTATTTATTCTAGATAAAGAAAAGGTTTAAAAGAAACTCCAACTTTGATAACTTTGTCTTAATTTGCATTTCTTATATATTACAGAATATAAAAATACATAGAGCAAAAACTATAGAAATGATGTATCAAAAACATCAAAATTCATTCATAAAAAATATTCATTGAATCCTTCAAATGGGATTCTTGGAGATTGCAAACACTTCATATAGTAAATACTGATTGACTGCTGGAACTAGATTAAGATTGGAGAATGGTATTCCCTATGCTGGAGATCTGGTCATAAAACTGAGTGGTTGTTAAACAGATAGGTCGTTAAATGAGAAGTGGCTGTATTATCATATTTTAATAAATAAATAATAAAGACTGAGTATAATTAAGTTATCAACATTTATACTATGATTAGATTATAAAGTACATTTCATTATTTAATTAATTCAAAACTAAGTGAAGTTTAAGTATGATAAAATATCAGGTTATCAAAGTTCACTTATAAGGAGCAAGTAGTTTGACAATACTCAGCCAGTATTATCTGACAACTGTAGTGTGTGATGTTAGCTTGTTATTGTTGTTTAAATTAAGTATTATAGTAACTGGAAATGGCTTAATTTACAGAATAGTGAATTTTCATAGTGAAAAGTTATAGAAAGAAGAAAATTTACTAAAAATAAGATTGTAGTTTCTAAAGATATTCTGAATTATTTGTACCTGCAAAGGTTAATCTAAAAACTTTTTAATATATGGCAATCACTGTGTGTGTGTGTGTGTGCAACAAAAAAGTTGTGTGCAAAAAGTTATCTTAAGAAAGACTTCGAGACATCCAGACATGCTTAGAAACAAATTCCACAAAATTTTTAGTATTTGTTTCAAGGCTTATAGTTCTCTTCATATAACTTCAAAAAGGGTAAAGTTTGGATTTATGTAGTGAATATTATTAAAGAACTTATTTATTTAGAGTTTTAGATGTTATCTCTTGAATCTGTAGCAAATAAATATTCAAAGATGTATGTGTTTCTCACATGATGCATAATAGGGCAGTAACAAGCATAGCAGTCTTGTGGGATCACCAAACTATTTGTTGTATTTCTTGAAAGTAAGCTTTTAATTTTATTATCCATTGTTTATAAAATATAGGGTATGTTTGTAAAGTCAAACAAGTTAAACACATTACNATAATCGAAAAAAATAATAATTGACAGTGAAAGACATGTATATACAGTATGAATAATTTTTATTTGTCTAGATTTACATATACTGTAGCTTCAATATTAAATTATTTTTTATTAAGAAATTCAATTATCAATTTTTGTTTAAAGCTAGCTGTTCTTTTTGAAGCTGCTAAATCACGAATACTTTTAAGACATATAAGTTGTCCTGAGTTACACTCTTCTTGGCTCTCAAACCACTTCATGGCGACATCTAAACACTGAAAAGCTTCAGAATGTGTAGGACCAATATCTTTTACTTCACAAATATCTTCTTTGTCTTCTCGATCTTGTTCATCTGAGGCTGATATTTCTTTAATTATTTTCCTCATCATTCAAAATTTGGAATCCAGGATCGTTCACATCGCAATTTAACCACTTGGTTACATCTTCTTTGTCACATTCAGCATATATTGAAATTTGTGCTATTGCTTCCGCACTGTCTCCTATACCACTTTCTACCAGGTTACTGGAATTTTCTAATGGTCTTTTCAAAATTTTGTTTCATGATTTTCTCAAAGTTGATACATCTATAGAATTCCAACTCTCTGCTGCCATGTAGCAAGTCTTTTAAATTTATTTTCTTATGGAAGCTCATAACTGTTTCTTCATTATTTTCATTTGCTAGCAATAATCATTGAAACATCTGTTTTCTATATAAGCATTTTACTGTTTCTATCACACCCTGATGTGACATTTGGTGGAAGAAATTTTACCATAAACATTTCATTGATCTGGTTTAAACATTTTATAGATGGGTGGGACGGTGCATTGTCTAGTAATAATAATGTTTTTCCTCTTTTATCTGTGAAGTTTTGATATTTTTTCACTTCTGGAATGAATTGCTTTTTGTACTATCGTTTAAAAATTTTTCCATTCATCCAGGCTTTTTTCTGATGGTCATATTCAACCAGAAAACTTCTGATATTTTTAAAGCATCTGGGGTTCTTTCAATTTCCCAATGACAAGCAGTGGGAGTCTGTGTCTGCCTGCTGCATTGGCACACATCATAATGGTGACACGTTCTTACTAGTTTTGTACCCTGGTGCAATATTTTCATGCCTTGATGCTAAAGATTTGTTGGGTAGTTTCTTCCAATTTAAACTGGTCTCGTCAGCACTGTAAATAAATTCTTCGTCAAATCCTTCCTTCCCCACAAAAACCTTCAATGTGTCAATGAAAGTGTTTGCTGAAGGTATGTCAGGAGAAAGCTTTTCCCCGTGAACTTCAAGTTCCCTGATACCATGTCATCCTTTGAATTTTTCAAGCCAGCCCAAACTTGCTTTGAAGGTGGGATCTCCATTTAATCTTGTACTGAAAAATATTGCTTTTTCACACAATAATGGACCAGTTATTGGCTGTCCAGATTATCGTTTTTGTATGAACCACATAAACATACTCTTCAACTTCTTCATTTCCTGATTTTTTCATAACTTTACACTCTGGTGTCATCTTCTGACATTAAACAATTAGTAAATTTCATAATTTTTTTCACTTTGTTTTTTTATATCTGAGATCGTTGACATTCCAACACCATATTTATTAGATAAAGAACATCCAGACTCACCGCATTTCAAAGCATTGATTTTATCTAATTTGTCTTTTAATGATAATACAACATGTTTTCTTTTCAATGACATATTGGTAATATTAAAAATAAATACTATATTTAAATTGTGATCAAATTTTTCAAGAAACAAACGTTCGTATTGAATTTGGACTACTACTGACCAGTACTAACAAACTGCCTATTGTTCAAAGACCCTCTGTGCAAGAAGACATATTTTATAAAATAAAAAGCAATTAAAACTGCATTTTTATGAATAAAAATTTGACAAACTATTTATTGTTTTACGATGAGTAAAATTTTTTCGTCGCGTTCATGGCTTTTAAGTAATGCATAAACCTTCGAGGCGCGAGGCCCCTCGGACCGCGAGGCCATAGGCGTGGCCCCTCGGACCGCGAGGCCATAGGCGTGGCCCATGTTGGTCTTGGCCATAGAAATTATGTAATTTGAATATAAATTATTTATAAATATGTATGTCAAGTTATATTTTTATTACAATGCAAAATGTATTAAAAAGTTTTGATGGAACAAAAAAAGTTATGCATTCCATCATGTACATACAATAATAACATAAATAACAGGGTCATAATTCGCCAAGTGCAAATCAGCAAATTCGTAAAACTTTTGTTTATTTTGAACAATCCGGATAATCAAGGTTCTACTGTATATTATTTTTTTTTGTCTTTGCCCATCCACATTTACAAGAAATTTGCTCACAGTAATTTGCCAGTATAAATTTGAGATGGGAACAAAATTATGTGAAAACTAACAATGAAAAATCACAAAATTTAATTTGCTTGAACCCAGAATTTTCATTGTGGAAAGTGATCTGTTCATTTCATGGCCATCTGGCTGTAATAAGTTGGAATTCTAATTATATTTTTTAACTTATTATAGCAATGTATCACCAGTAATAATATACTTTCCTGTCTAGCTAGCATGAAGTTTTAACAACAGATAACTTGGTTTTTTGCAACATTTTTCAAGGTAATTTTTCACTATGAAAATGAAGTTTTATTAATAATAATAGAAAAACAATTCATTAGAAATCTTCAAAAGTTTTTTCTGCCTATGGTGTTTTCTAGTAATATAGCAAGTTTATTATTACTGTAAAAAATGTATCACAAACTGATACATTGACAGCCAATCTTAACATCAAAATGCTAGCAAACTGATCTTCATAGTCTTCAATGCTAGAATTTTGTTACTAAAAAATTGGCTGATATTTTAATATATCAGTATTCAAAGTACCTGTAATGCAATCACTACATAAAATATTTCATTTAAACTGCTATACTTCCATCCACAACTTTACTTTTATAAAAAAAAAAAAAAAAAAAAATATTAATAAGATTATAAGATTGCCTTATGTGAACTATGCTCAAAATTATGCAAATGAATGAAATTTTCATTCTTACATTCTCCAGTTACTTTCTAAAGTTTCACACTAGTCTTCATGCAGATATAAAAGTTAAAACACTTTATTTTTTTATAATTACCTTTTAAAATAATCATTGTCTTAAGGATTAGAATCAATATCTGACATTTTAAATTGTCATTATATATGAAGTAATATTATTTATGGTATTTAAAGAGAACTTTTTAAATTGGTACCCCCAAAACTAGTGAATCTACTTGTTTTATAATTTTTATGGAAAATTTTAAATTCC